GTACATATGATCTTCCGTCTTCCTCCAACTTATGGCCTTATATATTGGTCTCTTTTTAACCAACGCAAAATTTGCAAATGTGTTAGTAAGATAAATGAGAATGTGTTAGTTTCCATCACACAATTCTTGTAGGGTAGTATATGGTGAATAGAAATGTCTCTTCTCGCTTACAGTAAACCTTTTCGTGTGGGTAACAATGATATTTTTCAAATAAGGCAGATCGGAATATGCGCTCTCAGGGAAACAATACCTGTAATTATTGTACCACATGATGTACCTTGTATACATCTACGCTTAACGTGTAAAAAACAAGCATTGACAATTCCGATTTAAAAACAAGTAATTGTGATTTTGTAGACAACTATTCATAAGCACACATACAAGTTTGCCGCTTACAGCTCCATACAAATTTTAAGCGCAGATACGTATGCGTGTAAAAAAACAAGCCTTTAGTATAATTTTCGTGACTAATATAGATATCGGACAAAAAAAGCTTTTTCATAAAAAGTCATAAAAGGCATTCATATTTCTAGGACATACAGTATATTTACGAAGCACTTGTGCACTTAACCGAAAAAAAACACTTACGCGAATTTTCTTTACTAATTTAATGTCGATGGTATCCGAATCCCTATCAAACCAAATAATGTAGAAATTACTGTAAGCGAAATTTTTTCCGAATGGTATCAAATTATCTATGTATATAACTAGATAAAACGATAGCAAAATAAATAAAAGCTTGTAAAATTAGGGTATATTAGGTTCAGTTTTGCCGGGAGTAATTTTTAGTGGTAGCCTTAATTCCTTTAAAAAATAGGTTAAAACGGCAACACTGGTTAGGTTAGGATATTCTAGTGATGCCAGATGGGGATAGAGGTTCAGTTTTTTGAGAATTTTAGCAGTGCTTGAAGCTCAAGTGTTGTCACGTCTTCAAGATTATTAAACTCTGGAGCTCCGAGGTATTTCAATCGCGTTTTTGATACAGCAGGATAATGGCATAGGACGTGTTCTAGGGTCTCCCTTGTTCCCGTCCCGTCCACGTTATATCCTGTTAAGATACCTATCATAGTTCTGCATTCTCTTCGTGCCAGCGATAGTATAAACCGGGTTTGTGTCCCGTTTTTCAGTCTGCACATGACTTTAGAGATTTTACAGGTGTTTAGCGCATTCCATCTCGATATGGTCTGCTTTTTCACCCTCTGGTCTATTTCATTATAAAGATTTTTAAGCGGTTTCGGAATGTTATTATCTTGTTCTAGAACCAAATGGATTCCGCTTTGGCAATCTCATCCACAATTTCGTTACCTGAAATGCCCTTGTGGCCGGGTACTCAATAAATATGCAGCCGCCTGGTTGCTGCTGCCCTATATATGGCTTCCCTGCTTGTAAGGGCATTTTGTGACGTAAATTGGTATGAGCTTATAGCCTTAATCGCTGCTTGACTATCTACATACGTATATCGGCAAATCCTAGTATTGCCAACGTTACGTTCGGACGTTTCTTTTAACTTTTTTGCCGACAAAAATATTATAAGTTAAAAATTTTTTGTGGTATAAGGGAAGGTTTATAGCAGTACTTATGAGAACAAAATAATGGAAATTTGAATTTGCGTTAATGTCGGTGTATTTGCCTTCGATATTTATGTTCGGACGTTACTGGAAAAGGAAGCGATTTTGATATGACCATCAAAGTCAACCGATTTGCGCAAATTGTCATGCCTGGAGAGTGCAATCTACAAAAATAGTTTGAAGAGAAAATAATGAAGTTTAGAAAATGTGATATAAAAGCAAATTAAAGGTTGGATTAACTTTAAAACAATTGTATATGTGCATTCGGGACGTTCCGTTATGGACCTTACTCTTTTTTCCGTCGAAAAATATGCTTTTTTAAAGCGATATTTTATTAAAAGATATAGTGCTTATGACCAATGCTATTTAGAGCTTTGTTACAAGAAGATGGGCAATTCAGATTTTTTAAATAAATGTGAAAAGAAATGTGAAATAAGAACATGTTGTACTATGCTTTTTTTGACACAAAAACAAGAGCGTTTGAATGGCGTGCATTTTTTGCGATTTTGGTTGACTATTTCTGGGATTCGCCCATATGTTAACTATAGAGTTGTTTTCAGTCATTGAGTAGGCTAGCTCAGCGGCTTTTCCCACTACGAAAACCTCTGCCTGGAATATACTGCTGTGATCCGGCAGCTTGATGGGCCGACGAACACTAAGTTCTGAGCAGTACACTCCCGCTCCTACTCCATCATTCATTTTTGAGCCGTCGGTGAAGAAGTTAAATGTCTTCCGGCTAGGCTTCATGCCCCTACGCCAGCCGTTTTCTTCGATAGTAACCCGAAACTCCTTATCCCAGTTATAGCAATGTACCGTGTAGTCCGTGATGGCTACATGCCCTTTGGCTATTGAGCTGTGGCCAGTGTTTCTTTGCTTTAACTCCCCTGTTTCAATCAGTCTCCCAGCGGACTTAGCAGCAAGGCTCTTTGCCGCAAGGTCAATAGGTGTTATATTGAGATTTTTTTTCAGTGCAGCCGTTAGAGTGGAAATCAATGCTCCTTTTGTACACAAGAGAGAGAGACGCTGAATACTCTCCATTGTCTTAAAATAAGTGCTCCTTTCTGTCGCGGTCCACCACACCAGAGCGCTATAGAGTAGTATTGGCTTCACTGCTTCTGTGTATCACCAATTCGTTAGGGCAGGGGATAGGCCACAAGTAACACCTAGCATCTTTTTGCATGCAAAGAGGGCATTACTCGCTTTCTTCACTCTGTCCTCCACATTGCACCTCCACAGCAGTTTGCAGTCCAGGATTACTCCAAGGTACATGGTGTGGTCCTTTGGTTTGAGTTGAGTGTCGTTCAGTTTAGGGAACTTCCACGCAGGAATCTTGTACTTTCTTGTAAAAAGTAGCATGTCCGTTTTATCTGCATTATTCCCTTAACCTGCGCGAGTAGTCCATTGGCGTATAGTATTGAGACTTCCATTCATTATATCACTTGTGGTATCAAGGTATTTTCCGGTCACCATTAATGCAATGTCATCAGCATATGCAACTAGCTTGAGTGCCCTCCGTTCAAATTTATTTAGTAGGTCGTTTACCACAAGTAGCCATAGGAGCGGTGAGAGCACCCCTCTCTGTGGTGTGCCCTTCACCGCCTTCTTAGTTAGCCTGGCTTCACCCCATTCTGCTCTAATTAGTCTACAGCCTAAATGGGTTTTTATCCATAGAAGAATAGCAGGTTCCAACGTTGTTTGCTTGCAGGCTACCTAGAATAGCTTCTCTTGATACGTTGTTAAAAGCTCCGCCGACATCTAAGAACACATCAAAAGCGTAATCCTTGTGTTCCAGCGTTTTTTCTACATTAGTTACTAGAGCATGCAATGCAGTCTCTGTCGATCTTCCTTTTGTATATGCGTGTTGCGCTTTTGATAGGCTGCCTTGCATTATGCTGCCCCTTATGTGTGTGTCTAGGATTTTCTCGAGTGTTTTTAGGAGGAATGAAGTTAAGCTGATGGGTCTGTATTCTTACTAGTATATAGGGTTGGCCTTACCTGCCTTGGGTATGAACACACGTGAGTGCCCTTCTGAATCATGACCGGAAAAATTCCATCCGTTCTAGGCGACTTAAATGGATCAAAACTGTTTATTTCCCATCTTGCTTGTTGTAATAATGTTGGGTGGGTTGTCATTCACGTTTTTTATTCCAGATTCCATGTCTGTCACGTCTATGAATCCTGGAAAGTGCATATCGATTAGGACCTGCAGCGATTCTTCGCAGCTTTCAGTCCATTTATCATCGTTTCTTGGTATTAACATAAGCGTGGACGGTTGCTTGGACAGTAGCTTTCTTAACCTTGCCACCTGGTTTATATTAGGGTAAGTGTAGAGCCAGTGCAGGTTAACTTAATACTTTCGGTGATCATTGATAATAGTTGCGCAATTTTTAAGGAAAGTATTGCTAATGTGTAGGTATGTTGAATGCATCTATCGGAGCAGTTTCCTTATAGATGTTAAAAATAATGCTGCTGATGCTGATTTTGGGGTAGGTATTTTAAACGTGCACTTAAGCTAACGGCAGCAAAGCAAAATATACTGAATTTAGATCGATGAGTCCGGATATGCCCCCTGTTTTTCAGATTGGCTCTTGTTTGCGAATAATTGCGAATTGAGCAAAAGTTTCCGCTGCTAAAATTTTGATGCTTTTTCAATTCCAATTAAATAAATAACTTAAAAATATAAGAAAACTAATGCGGAAAAGTATCCTAAACATATATACTTACATTTTCGTCGAAGCTGAGTACTGAGTATTATTGTCCAGTTTCATAATCCTTCAAAATATTTTCCGAGTGCTCTGAAATTTTACGATACATAATTCAGTAAATCTCCACACGTAGCTCCGGCGAAGGAATTTGACTATGGAGATCGAGTACACTTGTATGCATTCGTTTTCTTGTATTTTTAAGTTAGGTTTACAGATGAAGAAAAAATTAGAAGGAAAAGGTGCAGAATACTGACCGTTAAGCTAGGACAAAAAACGAATGGTATAAAATTTTTTTGCACAAACTTATATTTTCGGAGCGAAGGCGGAATTTTCGAAAATTTAATAAGCCTATCTCGAAAAATTTAAAACGGAAAAATTGGTATAATTAAACAGTATATGAATCAAGCTTTCATTTGATATACAACATCATGTTTTCAGTACATACTATGCAGATTATTTAAAAAAAAACAAACCCTTGTCGGCCCCTCCCTAACACCTGCAAAATGTATAAGTTTGCATCGAGAAATCTTTATACCATTAAAATAAGAAAACAGGGCGGACCGCGCCCAGCTTTTCGTTTTCTGATAGCTAAATGGTCCGTATTCTGCACTTATGCGAAATATCCGAAGATCGAAACCACAAAAAAAAAGCATATTGCCCGGCAATTAGGTAAGCAAAATTACTGTTATTTGAAATTTTTTCTAAAAATAAATATCTCAAAGGGGCCTCGGCAACAACGGAACAACTCAAAATTTCATGGTTTTTAGTTATATAGCGGATTAGGGTTATAAAAACCCATATTTTTTTGTGGCAAATCGATATATGCTTGGTTGTTCCCAATCTGACAGGGGCGCCGTTTTGGTATTTGTCACAAATCGAAGTAGGCAACCCTTACTACTGAAGAGTGGGCACATACCTCACCATTATCGTGAATATTGGCATAAGTTAAAAACTCTCGATAGGTTAGTGATGCTTTATGTGAAATAACAACATTTTTCGTTTTAGTCCATTGTTCAGTAATACCGGTGGCGTTATTTTCATTTAACTACTTAGAAGCTGTTAATTATTTCGTATTTTTTCAGTCTAACCCTTACCAAATCTTTAGGAAAGTCACAATTTGAATGCTTACAAACTACTCATTTGCCATACAAATAATTTTCGTTTAACTCGCCTCAAACACCACTTTTATTTGGAGTTAACGCGAATGCAACCCTTTTTTACCGAATTTGATNTAAGCCAGAAATACCTAATAGTCAAAAAATATATAAATATATAGATATATTTTTTTTTAATTGCGTTTATTTAAAATTCGTTTTCAAAATAGTATTTAAGTTGTCTTTATATTAGTATCGATACGTTTGTGATCGGTAAATAGTTTCCGAGATATTATAAATATAAAAAATATAAAAGTTTAACTTTAACCCCTCCTATCGGCTTTGATTTTTATTTGTGCCGAATAATCTTGGTATGGTTGAAACCTGCATGAAAAGTTCTATAGAGTCAGATTTTCTCCTTTTTTTTCTAAACGGTTGGTATTCTACACCACGGCTACTTTGTACTATTGGACACAAATAGTGAATAAGAACAAGTAAACAAACAAATGTCAAATTAAACTGAGTTTTTTTAACACCCCAATGAGAACACTTGACAGTTGTTTATAAACTCAAAACGTTAAACTCGAGTTAATTTTTCAACGTGAACATAGTCAAAAATTTCTAATGCACATTCAACTTGTATGGTACTAACCGAAATCAAACGGCGTGCGTAAAAAGCTAACTCAAATTCCAAGATTTGTCTTGCGTGACATTTCGATTTGACGTTTGTGCTCAATTGACATTTTGCCACGACTATGGATTCAAATTTTGCTCAACAAACTTCTGAAAATTTGAAAGAAATACAACTCTGAGAAATCACGCACGCAAATTGATTTCGGTTAATTAAATGTGAAAAACTTGCGTGCGTGCGTAGAAAAACTCACGCCGGCAATATTAGGTTGAGCTGTAACAGGAGAAAGAGACATCCACAGTTCTGTTCGAATATACTGATGCATGACAAAATAAATTAGAGATATAGCGAATTTAAGTGAATATTTTTTTAAATTTGCCGTGACAGTATGATATTTTAATTCGTTCAAGCAAAAGGAGCCGAAGTGACGCGTCGAAGCGCCGCGACTGGAGCGTGCGCTCTAAAAAGCTTTATAACTCGGAAAAATAAAAATCGCTTTTTCATTAATGATTTCTATGGAAAAATTAATTGAGATGGCGTAAAACCATATTAAAAATGACCGTCATTGAGAAACAAAATTTTGACACACATTTATTTAGCATCTGCAGAAAAATACATACATATATGTATAAAATAAAATAAGTCAACTCTTTTGTTAAGGTTATTAAGAGTTAAATGGTAAATGGAATTACTGAAATGAACTTTTTTTAAGCACTCACATGCAATGGAAATTA